TTTATAATAAAAAAATTAGTGATGCTCAAATACCACCGAATGAAAGTTCTATTTGTAGCTAAATTACATTTTAATTTTTTTTTCACATAGTGTTGCATCACTGTGCAATTACCAGTTAAAGTAGCGCAGTGCTGAATAGCCAAAAATGTCCTGGTCGTGAAGGAGGTAAAACCTTCAGGAGCTCAAGTGGCTAAACATTACTACAACTTTAATATTTATTCGTCTATATGACGTTTTATCTCTTACCTAAATGCTACGAATGTTCGGCCAGCTTAAAGTGGAACTTCACTTGTCCACCTCCGCCATTCCTCATGCTTTACCAGTATTTATTTTTTGGGCGAGCAGAAGTTCGGCTCCCCTCCTTCTGGGACATGTCACGTTGTGTAGGAGCAGTGTGTTTATTACAACGCACTGAGTGGTTTGCTTCTTTTTTGTAAAAAAAAAAAAAAATTTTTCTTCTTGGCCTTTTGGCTAAGATCGTGTCATATCTGTTCTTATCGGTGTCCATTAGGGGTGCTGCACCATCATTCTGGCTCTTTGGTAGGAATAGCTGGCTGTGTAGTGTCCCTCTGGTATAATGGGGGCTCTGAAGGCTAGTACTAGCAGGAACAGAAATTGGGGGGTCCACGGGTTTGTGGGGCACAGCAGTAATTCCCCTGGGAAGACTGGAGGGGCCCAGCAGCTCCTGATTTGAATTGGTCCACCTTGTCTGGCCATGGGCTGGGTAGGCAGAGAATCCATGGTGCTGGGAGTTGGTTACCCCACAGATTCTCTTAGCATCATTTGAGCCTGGGAAACCCACTGTGCGAATTGAGCACATGGGGGCTCTGAAAGCTAGTACAGGCAGGAATAGAATTTGGGGTGTCCACGGGATGTGGGGCACTGGAGTAACTCCCCTGGGAAGACTGGGTAGGCAGAGAATCCATGGTGGTGGCATTTGGTTACCCCACAGATTCTCTTAGCATCATTTGAGCCTGGGAAACTCACTGTGAGAATTGAGCACATGGGGGCTCTGAAAGCTAGTACTGGCAGGAATAGAAATTGAGGTGTCCACGGGATGTGGGGCACTGGAGTAATTCCCCTGGGAAGACTGGGTAGGCAGAGAATCCATGGTGGTGGCATTTGGTTACCCCACAGATTCTCTTAGCATCATTTGAGCCTGGGAAACTCACTGTGAGAATTGAGCACATGGGGGCTCTGAAAGCTAGTACAGGCAGGAATAGAATTTGGGGTGTCCGGGATGTGGGGCACTGGAGTAACTCCCCTGGGAAGACTGGGTAGGCAGAGAATCCATGGTGGTGGCATTTGTTACCCCACAGATTCTCTTAGCATCATTTGAGCCTGGGAAACTCACTGTGAGAATTGAGCACATGGGGGCTCTGAAAGCTAGTACAGGCAGGAATAGAATTTGGGGTGTCCACGGGATGTGGGGCACTGGAGTAACTCCCCTGGGAAGACTGGGTAGGCAGAGAATCCATGGTGGTGGCATTTGGTTACCCCACAGATTCTCTTAGCATCATTTGAGCCTGGGAAACTCACTGTGAGAATTGAGCACATGGGGGCTCTGAAAGCTAGTACTGGCAGGAATAGAAATTGGGGTGTCCACGGGATGTGGGGCACTGGAGTAATTCCCCTGGGAAGACTGGAGGGGCCCAGTGCCTCCTGATTTGAATGGGTCTACCTTGTCTGGGCATGGGCTGGGTAGGCAGAGAATCCATGGTGCTGGGAGTTGGTCACTCCACGGATGCTCTTAGCTTCACTTGGGCCTTGGAAAACCACGTGGGTCTTTCTTCTGGAGAACGCCTCACCTTGTGTTCGTCGTTTGGCTTCGGCTGACCATGAGGAGAGGGGTCAGCCAGGCCTTTTGGCTAGGTGGACAAAGTTCAGCCTTGCCCCTATCAAGAGCCTTGCGTCCCGGTGGGGGCAGGGGGGGTTCAAGGTTAGGGTCCTACCTACTCCTTTGGGAGGTGGTGTAGCAATTCACCCATAAAAGAGAAGTATGTTTTTTTTTTCTTTTTAAATCACACTCACCTAGGTGGATGCATCATTGCTCTGATGCTGCATCTGTCCCCCACCTGTGAGAACTGAGCAATAAAACACTGCTGATCGCTCAGTTCTCCCTGCTCCTCTGAGCAGAGAGTGGTGACTGTCAGTTTCCACCTCTCTGCTCTGCCCCTCTCACTAGAGCACTGGGCTGTGGAGTAGTTCAGGCTCTCAGCGGCTTGCTGAGAGGCCGAGCCAGGTACCGGTCCAGACATCTGAGTGGATCCCGACTTTAAAGTCGGGATATTTCCCCAGCCTGGACCGGCTGAGTGACGTCAGCTGACAGCAGACTTTAGCCCGCTGTCAGTTGAAAACCGTGCAGATTGAACTGCAGTCCTGTGATCTACAGAAGTACAGCCAAACAAGCTTTGACTGCTTTTCTTTTTAGGTGTTTATTATTTTTTTTTTTTAATACAGGGGTATTGTTTCTTTGCACCACCATGGTTTTAAAAACAAATGTAATTCAGCTATGCACCACAGCATGCTTTAGTACAGCGACATGCGGTGCTGCGCATATGTGTTGCATTTTTTTACGCAGCCCAATGCACCTGTATAGAGAACACAACACATAGGTACAGTTGTGTCCTGTGGGCCCATGAACCTCCATTGATCTATGCAGATTGTTGCAGATGAATGGACATGATGTGAATGAGCCCCATTAAATATTGAGTGAAAAGAACACGGTGGCAGATGGCTGTGTCTGCCTGGCATTAGGTCTCGGCTGACTCACTTCTGTCTCCTCTGGTCAGGCTCCTTCTCCGCTATTTTCCTTCTGAAACAGACACCTGAGACTGACATCATTAGTTCCGTATCAGGTTTATTGCAGCAGCCCAAAATAACTTCCCCGAACAGCCAGGCCAGTGACACAGCATTCAGTGATGGTGCAGATCAGCCTTGTGTCTGGACTGGGAAGGGGTGCAGCCTGAGCCTTTATACTACATGATATACGTGCGCAATGGATGGAATGTGAAGCTGGCCCCACAAACCCAGAGATGGCTTGTGTCAGCATGTCCTGCAGTTAGAACTGTTTATGGATGAATTAAAGAGGACCTGTCATTGGGAGGTGGGGAAGACCTGTCATTGGGAGGTGGGGAAGACCTGTCATTGGGAGGTGGGGAAGACCTGTCATTGGGAGGTGGGGAAGACCTGTCATTGGGAGGTGGGGAAGACCTGTCATTGGGAGGTGTCATTGGGAGGTGGGGAGGTGTCATTGGGAAGACCTGTCATTGGGAGGTGGGGAACACCTGTCATTGGGAGGTGGGGAGGTGGGGAGGACCTGTCGTGGGGAGGAGGTGGGGAGGACCTGTCGCGGAGAGGTGGGGAGGACCGGTCGCGGGGAGGTGGGGGGGACCTGTCATTGGGAGGTGGGGAGGGTCGGGATTGGGAGGTGGGGAGGGTGGGGAGGACCGGTCGCGGAGGTGGGGGAGGAGGTGTGGGGAGGACCTGTCATTGGGAGGTGGGCGGACCTGTCATTGGAGGTGGGGGAGGACCTGTCGGTCGCGGAGAGGTGGGGGTGGGAGGACCGGTCGCGGAGAGGTGGGGAGGACCGGTCGCGGAGAGGTGGGGGAGGACCGGTCGCGGAGAGGTGGGGAGGACCGGTCGCGGAGAGGTGGGGAGGACCGCTCATTGTTAAAGCCAAACTCCGGAGAAACCATGAATAACAAATCCTAAAGTTGAATCTACTTGTACTTTGCCTTCCCTGGTTCATCCCTCCATCCACAACATCATAATGAAATATTTACCACCTTTACTTTTCCAGTACATTCCTGTTTATTTTGGGTCTCCTTGATTTCCTATGCAATGCAGGCAGATCATGGTTGATACAAAGGGCTGCACACAGCTTCCTGAAAATAGCAGACAACTCTAGGTAGCCCCCATGTGATACTGAGCCTGTGACTAAAAACTGAAATCCAGTGCTTGAAAGGGATGGAAAGGGCTTCTGTATCTCTTTACCCTCCCTCTTAGATTGTAAGCTCTAAGGAACAGGGCCTTCTGAGTCCTCCTGTATTCATTTGTATTGTAATTGTACTGTCTGCCCTTATGTCGTAAAGAGATGCGTAAACTGTTGACCATGGCCAGGGATGGGTCACGACAAATAACCAACCACAGCCGGTTTATGGGTCACGTCAAATAACCAACCATGGCTGGGGATGTGACCCAGCTCCTGAGTGTGCATAACTGTCTGACCACCCATTGTATATGTTTTTATTTAAATAGAAATTTAATTGAAATAGCAAAAAGTCAAAAATATTTCTTTTCCTCAAAATTGTCGATCTTTCTTTGTTTATAACGCAAAAAAGTTAAAACCGCAAAGGTGATCAAATACCACCTAAAGAAAGCTCTATTTGAGGATATGTTTCATTTGGGTGCAGCGTTGCATGACCGCGCAGTTGTCCGTTAAAGTAACACAGCGCCGTAACACAAAAAGGGCTCGGTCAGGAAGGGGGGTAAATTCTCTGCCAGGGCAAGTGGTTAAAAAAAAAAAAAAAGCCTTGTTTACAAGGTGCCGGAACCAGTAGTGACGTTGCTTCAGTCCTCCAAGGGCATAGAGATGAGTGGAGGCCATCTTTCCTTCACTTATCGCTCTGCCCAGCGCCGGGATCGCTTGATGGTGTCTCGGGTAAGGCTGAGAACTATCGGGCGACGGCGAGAGGTGGGGTTATTTTCGGCACCTGTATCTGCGCTTATTTTTTTTATAGCGGCCAAAGTCCGGTTGGGGTGTTTTCGGCTGAAACGTTTCAGCCGCTGAAATTTCGGTGCATCCCTACTTCATGTATGTATAAGATCTTTGGTTAATCAACTTTTTTTGTTTCTTTTTTAAATACATATGAACACAAACTGATTATGTACAAGGCTGGCTTCAGCAGGTTGATTTCTGGTCTTTTTTTTCATCTGACGAGAACTCTGTTTACTGCAGAAATGAGTCATTTTAACCCCTCGCTCTCCTCTTCTTGCAGCATGCCAATGAAGATGTGGAGCGGATGCTGCTAGGAAACAAGTGCGACATGGAGGATAAGAGGGTGGTGCCCAAAGCAAAGGGAGAGCAGGTGAGTGCGACACGCCAGTCCTGGTCGGTGGCCGATACCGGAGTCATATTCTGGCCTGTACGGCAGATCTTTCTGTAGGTACTCACACGTGTTACTATCCGATCATCAGATTGTCTTTCTAGAATCGTAACAAAGTTCCAGCATGTCTGTTGGTGGTCACACTCCACTGCCTTCAGAGATTTCAATCGGATAACATGTAATATCAATTTGAAGGAAAGACTACGCAGGTTTGAGTGGGAAACTTCTATGTCTGTGACTCCACTGAGGTTTTTCACCTCACTTCCTGTTCAGGGGACTTCCTATTCAGTAAGCGGAAATATCCCACCAACAGATGCAGGCAGCTACAAATACCAGAGGATCCTAGTCTTCATGATAAAATGGAAATGACCTTTTAGTAATAATCTGTTTTAGGTTTCATGCACACTGGCTTAACCACCCCCCATCCAGCCATTGTATATAAACGGCTGGACGGTGGCAGTGCAGGGGTGGGTGGCCGTTTATAAATGGCCTCCCCGCACCCTGCTTGTAGCGTGCAGCACTGCCATCCGGTGCCCACTGTGTCCTCTGGACATTGCGGAACACCGATCGTCGGACGTGACCTCTGTGCGAGGTTCCGATCATGTGATCACTGATTGGCCAATCGGTGATCACATGCAGAGTAGTAAGCAAGATGTCACTTCTGACATAATTTCTTACTACGTGTGAAATCTGTGAATGATCACAGAGGTCACATGGTACAAGGCTATTCACAACAGCCTTGTACCATGTGACAAGCTGTTACCAATCACAACTCACACAGTAGTTCTCAATGGCTGCAAGAGTGCAGACAGAGAGGAGGAGAAATGATTGCTTTTATTAATATTATACTACAGTATTTATAAAGCGCCAATAGTTCGCTCAGCGCTGTACATTACAATGGGGGACAGAACAATAACAATACAATACAGTGCAAAACATGAGGGGATCGAGGGCCCTGCTCTTTTGAGCTTTTTACACCCATAAAGGCTATAAAAGCAATCAGTGTAAAAAAAAAAAAAAAAAAATCTTCATTACACCCCACAAGTAGTGTCACCATGGTGACACTGTACTGCTAGGGTGACAGTATGTAAAAAAAACAAAACAAAAACAAATCAAATAAAAAAAAAAAAGTTTAAAAATTATAATTTTGGTTATAAACTAATTTGTGTTTTTTTTTTTTTTATTTATTTTTTTTTACTAAACAGATAACGGAATATATTTCGGCCAAGATTTATGATGAAATACTATTTATTTGCAAAATTTTATAAGAAAAACACTTTTTGTTTTTTCAAAATTTTTGGACTTTTTCATTTACATAGCAAAAAAAAAATAAAAATCCCAGCGGTGAATAAATACCACCAAAATAAAGCTTTATCTGTCTCAAAAAAATGGTAAAAAATTCATATGGGTACAGTGTTGCATGACCGCGCAATTGTCATTCAAAGTGTGATAGCGCTGAAAGCTAAAAATTGGCCTGGACAGGAAGGGGGTGAAAGTGTCCGGACTGGAAGTGGGTAAAGAAAACACCAGCTTGAGTTTTCATTTTGCTCTAAGGAGAATGCAGAACCCCTCTGACCTCTGTCTGGACAGTGCTGATTGGCCCTGTGCTGATCACATGCACACTCCCAAGAAAGGAAAAAACTTTTCTAGCAATACACACCAATCTCAGCATGTGCAGAGTGACACCACACAGTGTCTTATCAGGAGATAAGAGGGGGGCACTGAAATAAGGGGAGGATCGTAGATGAGTGTCCTCATTTATCATAAACTCTTTTTCAGGGATATAACGCTCTAAAATATAGATCATTGACAATCAAATTTAATAAGAGGTTTGTTTATTGAAAAAAAAAAAACCTCTTAATAAATTTGATTGTCAATGATCTATATTTTAGAGCGGTATATCCCTGAAAAAGAGTTTATGATAAATGAGGACACTGTCATCTACGATCCTCCCCTTATCTCCTGATAAGACATTGTATGGTGTCACTCTGCACATGCTGAGTTTGGTGTGTATTGCTAGAAAAGTTTTTTGGGTTTTTTTTTTTTTTGTTTTTTTTTTTTGGGTTTTTTTTGGGGTTTTTTTTTTTCAATAAAGTTGTAGATGGATGCAAAACCCAAATAATATAAGGTAAAGGACTTGCACAACTACCATAGATATTCTGTAAAGTGTCTCATTATGTCAAGAGATACATCTTCTCCTAAAGGGAAGCCAGCATTCTGGTGTGCAAAGACCACAGGGGCCGCACCTCAACAACTGTAATAAAAAATATATATCTGATATATAATTGGTGATAGAGAACACAGGGAAACCATCAGCTAATAATCTATGTAAGTCAATAGAGGTCAAATGTAAGGAACTAGGGATGACCACAGTTAACTTCTTCCATGCCGCCCTATAGCAGGAACACACTGCTGCGTAAAATCGCATACGTGATTTTGCATTTGAGGGGGGGGGAGGTTGTGCGCGCCACTACTCACGGCCTCGGCTCTCGATCACCAGGTCCCAGCCGGTGATCGCCAAGTATCACTGATGGGGGAAAGACCTGTTTGTAAACCAATACAGCGCTCTTCCCTGTCAGCTCCTGCACACTGCTTTGTATGGCTCTGCATAGCAGTGTGCTTACAGTGTAAAACACACACACACAGTTAACCCATTGATCGCCTCAGATGTTAACCCATTCTTGCCTGGTGATTTCCGAGTATTACCGATGAGGGTGGAGACCTGTGTATATAAGCAGATCTCTCCCTTCAGCTCCTGCACACTTCTTTCTATGGTTGTGCATAGCAGAGCCATAGAAAGCAGTGTACGTACAGTGTAAAGCACAAACACAGCATGAAACAGTTAACCCTTAGATCGCCCCACGTTCCTGCACAGTGCCATTAGTACAGTGTCAGTGCTTTTTATTAGCACTGATCACTGAATGGGTGTCACTGGGGATGTCAGTGACACCAGGTCAGTTCTTTCAGTGTCAGAATGCCTGCTGCAGTCCCACTAAGTTGCTGATCGCTGCCGTTACTAGTAAAAAATAAAAAAAAAAATTCCAGTGTATATATACCCCCCTTGTGAAGTATGTTTTGTGTAGATAGTGTCATGGCGCCCTCCCTTGTATCCATCTTCCCTTGTAAACAGTGCAGCACAGACATCTTTTTGTATTGGCGTCACATATGAACAGAATTCCCAGAGCATTTGTTTACAGTGTGATAAATATTTACATACCAGTCCCCCCCCCCCCCACACATCGGCTGCAGCAATGCGGGGGTACTCCTCTGTGCCTCGCCCAGTTATTTCCTTTTTGTTTACTTGTGATCCTTCTATATGGATCATCAGATTTTTTTTTTATCTCCTAAAACGGAATGTTTTTACATGGTAAAGTGTAACTAGTACCTCGGTTGCTATCACAAGCAGTGGGAGGGGACGTTCCTTTTTTTAAAAAAAAGTCATACTTGCTGTGTGTGATTTTTTTTTTTTTGCACAAAACATCACTGATTCTCCTCTTCTCGGGCCCCCCCCCCCCCCCCCCCCCCCTGGCACTCCTAGCTGTTTCTTCCTTTTGGGTGCTTGCTATGGGGCCACCCGAGCAGGCACGCTCTCGAGCCTCTTCTTGTGTCCATTTACACACTGAGCCGCAGTTCAGCCCCTCCCCCAAGTCTCCTCATTGGCTCACTGGCTATGACAGCAGCAGGAGCCAATGGCTTCCACTGCTGTCTCTGCCAGTGTGGAGGCAGACACCCAGGAGAGCCGAGGTTCTCGTTCATATTGCTGGATTGCGATGGGGCTCAGGCAAGGGCGGACTGACCATTTGGAAACTCGGGCACTGCCTGGGGTCAGTAGGGGGCCCCATGAGTTGCCCCTGGTACCTTTTTCATAGTGTTTTTTTTTAGTTTGGGCAAGGACACAGGGGCCCCATGATCCCCTATTGCCCGGGGGCCCCATGAGTTGTCAGTCTGCCCCTGGGCTCAGGTAAGTATTCGAAGAGCTAGGGGGGTTGATGCACACAGGTTTTTTTTTTTTTTTTTTTTTTTTTTTTTTTTTGCATAGAAAACCTTTACAACTATCAGGGATTTGGGGGGCTTTATTGACCCCAGATTCCTCCATAAAGAGTACCTGTCACATGCCTACTGCTGTCACAAGGATGTTTACCTTTTTTTGGGATCACTTTTATTGCTGTCCTAAGGCTACATTCACACTAGCCTTGTGTGCAGGCGGCAGAGAGGCGTTTGGGAAACGTTTTTACCGCTTCCCAAACGCCTCTGCCAATTCTGCGCATTACAGCACATGGTGCTGTTCTAACGGGAGTGTTTGCCTCGCGAGCAAAACGGACGCCACTGGACGAGTCAGGAGGAGTTGAAGCCTCCTATTCTCGTCTATGGTGCCGCTCTGCAAACGCCCGGCTGGCGTTTGCGGTGCGGTTGCGGGGCGTTTGCGGAGCGGTAACACCACTCAAACTGCATTATAGGCGTTTGTGGGGCGTCATTATCGCTAGGCAAACGCCTAGAAACCTCCGCTAAACCGTGTTTGCCGAGCGTTTGCCGAGCGTTAAAAAACGCTCCGCAAACTCTGGACCAACGCTTGCCAAACGCTATAGGGGCAATTGGCAAGCGTTGGCAAAACAGCCAAGTGTGTACGAGCCCTAAGGAATGTAAAGCAGCAGTGTAAAAATAAATAAAAATCAAAGCGTTCCCATCTCCCAGTGCTTGCATGCAAACGCACGCGTCGGTCCCGCACACATACAAACCACAATTTGTCCTGGTATTGCAACGAACGTCAGATCCTGGCCAGTAATTCTAGCACCAGACCTCCTCCTGTGTAAGTTTAAAGTGGTCACCTGTAAAGGCTTTTTAAAGCTTCACCTAGGAATAGTAAATCTTATGCTGTTTGTCGCCGTTGCATGGGCTGATGCAGTTTTATAGCGTGACGCCTTTGGTATTTATTTACTCAACATAACATCTATGTTACCAAAAATTTGGGGTTTGCTTTCTGGCGGTTAAAATTCTAAATAGTGCTCCCTGCCCCCCCCAAAAAATTGTGTTTTAAAGACCGCTGTGCAAATACCGTGTGGCATAGAAAATTGCAAAACTCACCATTTTATTCTCTAGGGCCTCTGCTTTACAATAAAAAAAAATATTTATGGTTTGGGGGTTCTAAGTAATTTTCTAGCAAAAAATACTGATTGCTACATGTAAACAAAAAATGCCAGAAAAGGCCTGATGTGGAAGTAGGGTAAACTTATGGGTCTCTTTAAAGCGGAGCTCCACCCAAAAAGGGGAAGTTCCGCTTTAAGGACTGCTTCCCATTAAGGATTGGCACCTTGGGCGGGGGGGGGGGGGGGGGTACCCGAATTTGGCAGGTACCCGCTCCCACTTCCGGTCCAATCGCCTAGGCGAGCGGATGGTGTCCTCCCTCCCTCTCGGTAGTCTTTTGGGACACGTGACAGTCCCAGAAGACTACAGGACCATTCATGAAGCGCTGCGCTACTCACGCATGCGCATGGGTACCCGGCTGTTAAGCCGCAAGCTGTCACAGCCGAGTGCCCACACTGAAGATGCCGGCCTCCTGGAATACAGGACGGCCGGTGAAACGAGCTACGGGGGACACACCACGGGACCGAGGGACAGGTAAGCGGCTGTTTTTTTTAAAAGTCAGCAGCTACAGTTTTTGTAGCTGCTGACTTTTATTTTTTGACAGCGTGAGTGGAACTCCGCCTTAACCACTTTACTACTGAACTATAGCCGAATGACAGCTACAGCATCCAGTTCTGGGAGGGCGTCATGATGTCCTCCCAGAACGCACCCATAGCTTTCTGTCATTGCTGTGACCTTTGGACACAGCTGATCACATGACGTGGTAGGCCAATCGCAGCTGACCACTATGTAAATACATTTGCCGGTTACCGGCAACTTTCAGAGCAGACATCTGCACTGATTGCAGCCCCAACATCAGTGCAGCCCAACAGTGCCGCCTACAGCCCCAACAGTGCCGCCTATCGGTGCCCTCGAGTACTGCCTATTGGTGCCCTTGAGTGCCTGGAAAATTGGAAACATTTACCTCTTTGCAAAATTTTATAACCGAAACAAAGAAAACTTTTTTTTTTTTTTTTTAATTTTCGCTCTTTATTTCGTTTATAGTGCAAAAAATAAAACACCCAGTAGTGATTAAATACCATCAAAAGATAGTTCTTTGTGTGAAAAAAAATATAAAAATGTCATGACCGTGCAATTATCTTTCAAATTGTGACAGCACTGCAAGCTGAAAATTGGCCTGGGCAGGAAGGGGGTAAAAGTGCCCGATAGGCGAGGGGTTAATTGCTATTATTCCATTAAAAGTATGTGTGTGTTTGACATTCAGATGAAAAAAAAAACCCATCACACTCAGGAATTGTATTCTCTTAAATGAATAGGGATCCAGTCACGGCGTCCCGTCTCCGGGCACACAGGCTTATTGTCGCTGTGTGGTCACATGACCCGCAGTGGGACAGCTGCCAGTAGCTGCACCAGGCTGCAGGGAGCAGCTCATGCAGTAGATGCAGACGCTGGTAGTAGCCCTGGCAGCTTCTTTTTCAACGTTTTACAGATCTTGCGGCTGCGTCGCTTCTTCCAGCTCCGGCAGAGGGCCGGGGACGTTCAGCTTGGCTGTGAAAATTGACGCAGCACAGACATTTATCCCTGCAGCCTCCAGTGCTTTTCGTGTTTACAAATCGCAGGGACTCCCGAGCTGCAGTGTCATTTCACTGTTCACTAATGCCAGACTAGGAGCACGTTCACACCGTCTGTTTAGCGGCATTGATCTGCATAGGTTAACACAAGGGCGCTGGTTTTTGTGTTTTTTTGTTTCGTTTCGGGTTTTTTTTGTTTCATTTCGTGCTTTGTTTTTTTGTTTCATTTTTTTGTTTTGCTTCGTGTTTGGTTTTTTTTTTTTTTTTTTTGGTTGTTTTTGTGGTTTTTTTTTTAGTTTTTTCATTTTTTTGTTTGTTTCATTTTTTTTGTTTCGTTTCGTTTTTTGTTTCGTTTTGTTTCGTTTCGTTTTTTGGTTTTTTTTGTGACCTGTTTACCCCCTAGCGTTGCAGTGCGATGCATAAGAATTCCACACGTCTGCTTCTTATGTCAGACTGGCCATTCCTTTAGAATAAAACAGGTGGTGGTTTTTGTTGTGGTGTTTTTGGCTTTTTGTTTGCCCAAGTTAAGTTGGAACAGGGAGGTTGGCCTGCACCCCGTGTGTTCTGGTGTGCATGTGGTTGGCTGAGCTTTAAAGTGGTTCTAAAGACTCAAGGTTTTGCTATGTATGAAGGTAAAAAAAATAAAAAATATACCTCTGCGCAGCATCCCCCCCCCCCCCCCTCTCCCCAATACTCACCTAAGCCTCCTCTCTATCCAGCAATGTGCACTTGGAGTCTCAGCTATCCTGGGACTCCCTCTCCTCATTGCTGAGAGAGAAGCGGGAGCCATTGACCCCCACTGCTGTCGATCACAGCCAGTTGCCAATGAGAAAAAAGAGGGGGCGGGGTTGAGCCACAGCTCCATGTGTGCATGGACACACAGAGCAGCGGGTGCCCCCATACCAGCAGCTTGCTCTGGGGGGGCACCCGACAGGAGCTGGTGGGGGACCCAAGAAGAGGAGGATCCGGGCTGCTCTGTGCAAAACAATTGCACACCACAGGTATAGACATGTTTATTTTTTTTCTTTTAAAAAAAAAAAAAAAAAATGCCTTTAGAATGGCTTTGAAGCCTCCTTCATACCGGCGGTAAAAACAGGCAGCTGCGCCACAGTAACGGTGTAACGGTGCCTCCCAACCACCCACTTAGTCTAAAACACAGCAGTAGGCTGTTCACATGCCCTGATGCTTTGCATTGCGACAAATTTTACTGCATCATGTATTATTATACAGGATTTATATAGCGCCAACAGTTTTCTCAGTGCTTTACAATATAACGGGAGACAATACAGGAACAATACAGTTCAATACAAGAGGGATAGGAGGGCCCTGATCCTCGGAGCTTACAATCTAGGAGATAGAAATGACAGGCAACCTGGCATCTCGTACTCACCCCTTAAGGTGAATAGGGCCTCCTCCATGAGCACAACACATGTCGCACTTTTGCAGCGCATTAGCCCCTTTGTAAATTGTCGTTGGGCCAACAAATAAAAACATTTAGGCAATCAAGAGGCGGCAGGATCACCTCCTGAATGACTGACAGCAGCTGCTTAGCTGCACTCAATCCACCACGGATCACTTTTCAGAGCTACTGTGAATCCAGCCTAACCTGTCGGTGCCCAGAGGTTGTCAAAGCTTATGTGCCCAGGCCACGTTCTGCAGCATCTGCCCGTCGCTACACACAACTCCTAATTTACATACCCAGATCTTTTTTTTATACAGATTTCGTCTATTGACGGACACTGCTCTCTTGTTCTTCAACCACTGAGTTATGCTGCCACCTGCTGGAGTAAAAAGCAAAGTACAAATGAAAGCTCAACCTAATGGCAGCCCCTGCTGCTGGACAAACCCACCTCTTTGCTCATTAAAACGTGAAGTGATCCTCACACTGGTGGTCAGTGGGAGAAATGCTCCTTACACTGGTGGTCAGTGGGAGAAATACTCCTTACATTGGTGGTCAGTGGGAGAAATGCTCCTTACACTGGTGGTCAGTGGGAGAAATGCTCCTTACATTGGTGGTCAGTGGGAAGAAATACTCCTTACACTTGGCCGGTGGGAAGAATGCTCCTTACACTGGTGGCCGGTGGGAAGCATGCTCCTTGCGCTGGTGGCCGGTGGGAAGCATGCTCCTTGCGCTGGTGGCCGGTGGGAAGCATGCTCCTTGCGCTGGTGGCCGGTGGGAAGCATGCTCCTTGCGCTGGTGGCCGGTGGGAAGCATGCTCCTTGCGCTGGTGGCCGGTGGGAAGCATGCTCCTTGCGCTGGTGGCCGGTGGGAAGCATGCTCCTTGCGCTGGTGGCCGGTGGGAAGCATGCTGGGAAGCATGCTCCTTGCGCTGGTGGCCGGTGGGAAGCATGCCCCCTTCTAGATGTCAAAATCTAAAGCTAAATCATGCCTCTAACTGCCAGTTGGTGTTGGCCCCAGAAGTATGCGGGGACAATCAAATGAGAGGTCAACCAGCCACAGTTCAAAGAGCCCTAGTAACCCCTAGAGGAACCTTGATTGAGAATAGCTGTTGTAGAGGGAACCAGCAGGTATGGTCCATACATAGTTGCATAGGTCCAAGCTGGAAAAATGTAACTACGTAAAACAAAATATACCATAATGGAATTAAAGTCTGCAGCCTGTGTGCTTCTGCTTGGTATGTGTGGCATGCATGCGCTGTTATCACTGAGTGAGAGATCATGTGCTCCTGATATGCGCAGTCATGTGACGTTTAAAGTGCGTACTCACCCGACTGGAAGCTCAAGGAAGCGGCATCGAGCCACAAGGTTGGGTGGCTATTATGAGAACAAACCTAAGGTGACTTTTTTTGATGCTGTAGGTTTTTGTGGTCAAAGCAAATACTTTTAGCTCTTCTTTCTCTTGTACTGTGTAGTAATGACAGGCTGTGAGTGGGCACTCACCATCAATGTTCTCCTCTTCTCTCCACAGATTGCTCGGGAGCATGGAATTAGGTTTTTTGAGACTAGCGCAAAAGCAAACGTAAACATTGAGAAGGCATTCCTCACGTTAGCAGAAGACATACTTCGAAAGGTACGAGATTCATCATCTTCTGTCTGTCCCACCTTTGTCTCATCTCTTCCGATATCAGATTCCCACTGGACCCATTCATAACTCAAGACTAAAACACAGGGTGAATGTACAGCACTATATATCCAGTGGTACTAGTCACACCTATCCAAATGTCCATCAAACAGACGAGAACAAGGGACATTTTTAACCGTTTTTGGTATAAGTGCCATTCCTTGACCCTCTACAGTACTGAAAAATCTCACTGGACACCGGTAGGGTGTATTTACTAAAGCTGGTTCACTCAGAATCTTGTGTACTTCTTCATAGAAACCAATAGGCTTCCAGGTTTTATTGCTAAAGCCTGATTGAACAAATTGAGGTTAGAAGCTGATTGGCTACCATGCAGAGGTGCACGAGTTTCTGAGTGGCCGGGTTGACCTCTGTGGCCGGGTTGACCTCTGTGGCCGGGTTGACCTCTGTGGCCGGGTTGACCTCTGTGGCCGGGTTGACCTCTGTGGCCGGTTGACTCTTGACCTCTGTGGCCGGGTTGACCTCTGTGGCCGGGTTGACCTCTGTGGCCGGGTTGACCTCTGTGGCCGGGTTGACCTCTGTGGCCGGGTTGACCTCTGTGGCCGGGTTGACCTCTGTGGCCGGGTTGACCTCTGTGGGGTTGACCTCTGTGGCCGGGTTGACCTCTGTGGCCGGGTTGACCTCTGTGGCCGGGTTGACCTCTGTGGCCGGGTTGACCTCCGTTTTAGTAAATCTCCCTCTGTGAGTTTCTCGTAGTGTTCTTTAGAAGCCACAGCAAGTCAGAACCTGCCTCATTTCCAGGCTGGAGGACATCTAGCGGTTTCCTCCCCATCCTTGACTGTCCATGGCCTGCCTCTTTCAATCGTTGGGTTTCAGTTCTTTCAATCATGGAGTAATCAGCATCACATCTGGGTGATAACCTGGGGCGGTCTGCATGCAAATTCAGCTTCCTTACAAACACCCACTCCAGACTGATACCCATCAAAGCATTTTGATATCTGCAGAACTCCTTCCAAGAGCCAGCCCAGTGCTTGAGGGCTCTTGAGAGGAGGGTACTGTAATGTTTTTAGGAAGCTATGGTGAGCACCCTGCCAGCCATGATGTGCCTGCACTGCCTAGAGAAGCACTGAAACCCAGTGATAACATAACTGGGTTCAAAATAATGTTGTTGATGAGAGGGGAAAAGGAGGGAAAAATATAAGCTGGTTAAAGCTCAGTGCATGTAAGACAAAGGGATTTTTTTTTTCCTTCAGGTTGACGTACACTTGAACCAGGAAAATAATCTTTCAGTACAAAAAAAAAAAAAAAAAAAAAAGGCATGCAGTGCTCAAATGGTTTTGAAGCAAGAATTGAAAGTCCATTAGCTATCTTCCAAACCATTTGAAGGCTGTAATTACCACAGTACTGGGAGGTGACCAGACACTTCAGAAGCAAGAATTGTCCACAAAATGTACAGAAATTGGCAGTTTGTAAAAGGAAATTCCACTTTCTGGGGAAAAAAAAACTACTGATATAACATACATGCTGCATAGTTTAGTGTTCTTCAGAATGGACCTTCATTTTCAGCCTGCCGTCTCTGTAATTATATAAAATTTTCCGAAAATGTTAGTCATTTCTAAATGGAAACTTTGCACCCAGATTCCCTAGAAATCTCATCACTTGTGTGGTTTCCTTTCCACGTTACTCACAAATCATGTCTGAGCTGTAGGACAAAATGCAACCCTCACCATAAGGTGTGTTTTTTTTTTTTTTTTTTTTTTGTTTTTTTTTTTTAAGGAAGGTTACGCTAAAGATATTTTTTTCTACAGGGCAACTTGACTCATTACAACACTGATTGGTCACAGTGAAGGCAGAGACCCTCCCATTTAGCAATCAGTTGTCGTACATGGTCAAAACCGTTTCTTCCGAAATGTACATTATAGGGTTAGAGGTGTGTGTGAACACCAGGCCATCACACCAATAGGAGCTTGTTGGACTTTCCATTCCAAAGCCATTGACATTTATATGGAGTTGTGGCTATAACACTCTCTGCTCTCCTGGAAAGGCTTTCTATAAGATTTTGGAGAGTGTCTTGGGGAACTCGTGCCCATTCAGTCAAAAAAGAGCTCTTTTTTGAGGTTGGGTCCTGATGGGGTGAGAAGGCCTGACTTACAATCATTGTTCCAGTTCACCCCAAAGGTGTTCAGTAGGGTTGAGGGTAGGGCTCTGTGGAAGACACTCAAGTTCCTCCATACCAAACTGGTCAAATCATGTCTTTATGCTGATCTCATCCATCAGAACTTGACTTCTTAAATGGTGGAGAGCAGCATAAAGACATGGTTTGACCAGTTTCGTGTGGAAGAATGAGAGTGTCCTATACAGATCCCTGACCTCAGCCCTACTGAACACCATTGAGATGAATTGGAACACTGATTGCAAGCCAGATCTTCTCATCCATCAGAACTTGACTTTTTAAATGGTGGAGAAGATCTGGCTTGCAATCAGTGTTCCAATTCATCTCAATGGTGTTCAGTAGGGCTGAGGTCAGGGATCTGTATAGGACACTCTCATTCCTCCACACAAAACTGGTCAAACCATGTCTTTATGCTGCTCTCCACCATTTAAGAAGTCAGGTTCTGATGGATGAGACGACCTGACTTGCAATCATTGTTCCAGTTCACCCCAAAGGTGTTCAGTAAGGTTGAGGTCAGGGCTCTGTGGAGGACACTCAAGTTCCTCCATACCAAACTGGTCAAACAATGTCTTTATGCTGCTCTCTACCATGTGAGGTCAGGTACTGATGGATGAGAAGACCTGGCTCGGAATCAGTGTTTCAGTTCATCTCAATGGTGTACATTAGGGCTGAGGTCAGGGATCTGTATAGGACACTCTCATTCCTCCACACCAAACTGGTCAAACCATGTCTTTATGCTGCTCTCCACCATTTATGAGGTCAGGTACTGATGGATGAGACGACCTGACTTGCAATCATTGTTCCAGTTCACCCCAAAGGTGTTCAGTAAGGTTGAGGTCAGGGCTCTGTGGAGGACACTCAAGTTCCTCCATACCAAACTGGTGAAACAATGTCTTTATGCTGCTCTCCACCATTTATGAGGTCAGGTACTGATGGATGAGTAGACCTGACTCACAATCTGTGTTCCATATCATCTCAATGGTGTTCAGTAGGGTTGAGGTCAGGACATTTGCATTCCACCACACCCAACTCCTCAAACTATGTTTTATGGATCTGGCTTTGTACACAGGGGCACAAGCCAAACAGTAAAGGGTCTTCCCCCGAACTGTTGCCACAAGGTTGGAGGAACACAATTATCTACATTTTTTTCTTTGTGTGCTGTAGTAGTAGCAGTTCCTTTCACTGGAAGCACCTGAATGCAATCATTTGGAGGGGTCTACCTAACTTGTAGCTATATAGGTAGGGGTGTGAGGGTCAGGCTGTATGGTGTATAAAACTGTCCCATTGTGGTTGAAGCAATGTCTAATAATCCTTTCTTGGTCTTGTCTTGCAGACTCCAGTTAAAGAACCCAACAGTGAGAACGTAGATATCAGCAGCGGCGGTGGCGTGACAGGCTGGAAGAGCAAATGTTGTTGAGCCTTTTATTTGCATCGTTCACCACCCACCGTCCCCCCTTCCCTCACCCTTTAACCCACCCCCCACCCAACCACTTCTCGTCCTCGCAGCATAAACCACTCTGACCCCCCCCCCCCCCCCCCATCCCCTCCATTTTAACCTTTGAATGTCCCCCTTCCCCCCCATATCATATTAACATCCTTCTCTCCAACTAAGCGAGTGCTTGCTGGTCTCATTCTTCTTCGGGTGTATAGAGAACGGAGGAAGACGCAGCTGAAAGTCGATAAACCATGTTTGTGACATTTTCTCATTTTAACGCTTTATCCTCCTCCCCCCGTCACTACATTTTGGTTGTATCCTCATGTCCCCCCCTCTCGTTCTGTTATCACTAAAAAAGAGAAAAAAAAAATTTTTTTTTTTTTTTTTTTTTTTTGAAGACGGAGGCACCTACAGCAACTACTGCTACTATTCTGGAAAATGAAATGTGTATCACAATAAAACTTAGAGTGAATCACTATTGTGGTGTCCATCTTGACCGCAGGAGCCATTGAGTGGGTTGAGTACGCCAGCGGCTTAGTATCGCTGCATAGTGTGAAAAAAAAAAAAAAAAGTGTCCCAACACTGGAAAAAGGGAAATCTGTTGTGTGTTCTCGGCTAGCCCACATTTTAAACCAGATGACCTATTTGATGCAGTCTGTTCTACCCAAGGATCCTGGTAATACGAACTACTGAAATCTCATATCCTTTAAAGGAGAAGTTCACTCTTTGGGAAATTGCCTTTCAAGTAAAGCCACGCCCTCCCGAGTACAGCGTACCTCCCAGTTTTAGGCATCTTCAATGTGTGGCCCTGCCTAGAACCTCAAGGCCTTTGCCAAGGAAAAGCTCAAGCTTGGTCTTTTTTCCTACTGCACATGCACACTGGGGTGAGGGATGCTCATAGCAGCCTCTGTCCATGCAGTGGATTATAGCTCTTTTGTAATGAATGGGACTAGACTGCACATGTGCAATAAGAGGAGGACCTTGCAGGGACATTTCCAAGCAAAGGTTGTGCATCAACAGCTGGAGGGTGGATATTTAATGGCAGGCTGCACTCAAGTTGGTGGAAGCATTATTAAAAGATATATCTATATCAAAACTACAGTTGTCCTTAAGCTGAAATCCAGGAATTCAGCTACTTTGTAAAAACTGCAATCATACCATGAGTTAAGGAGGTGCCTTGTAGATTTATCTCTGTTCAAATCTGGCAGGTTTACTGTGTTCCAGGAAGAGAACTTCATGCTGCTCACTGTAATTTCAGTCCCTTCAAGAGCAGAGACACTAAAACTGCTATGCCTTGCCCTTTTTTTTTTCTGACTATTCACAGAAGCCTTTGTATTATTCTGACTATTCACAGAAGCCTTTGTATTATGTGACCTCAAAGCCTTCTGTGAATGGGCATCAGAGGGGAAGGGCAGGCACAGCTGTTTGTGCTTTTCTCCTTTTAGTGTCTTCTGGGAGTGCAGTAGACTTGTCACATATAAGTAATAGAGATGAGTCCTGGAGGTAACATGCACCTAATTGGACTTAACTCATAGTTTACCTGCACTTTTTTCGAAGTTGCTGAATTCCTGGTATTCAGTTTTAAATCCTTCTAAATGTTGACACACGGGTTGATTTGCTACAGGGTGGTGTAGCTGTGCATAGCATCCAATCAGCTTCTAACTTCATCTTGTTCAATTAAACTTTCAGTATAAAACCTGGAAGCTGATTGGCTACCATGCAGAAGCTGCACCAGATTTTGCACTCTCCAGTTTTAGTAAATCAACCCCATACTCTCCACTCCCATGCCACTCCTTTCAGCTGCTGGAAGTAAAAGAAATACCTGCACTATCACGTACGTGGGCATCATGTTACTCGCTTCATTTCCTCCTCCTTAGCCAATCGGCAGCGCCAGTAGGGAGGAAGTCCCTTGGCCATTAGAACTTATACAGAGCCTTCTTCCCTAGGTCCTGACAACCGGATGGAGTGAATGGGGAGGGCAAAGGAAAAAAGGGAGTATGTGTGGTTGGGGAGAGGAGCTCTAAAGGGAACTAAGGAAGAGCTCCAGCCAAACGGTTAACTAAACAGCTCAAATAATACTTTATGGTTTTACATGCCAAACCATTTGTAGTTCTGTCCAGCCTTTCTTGTGATTTACAGGCAGCTCCTAAGTTACAAGCATACAACTTACATGCGACTGCTGCTTAGAACAGAGGCAGCGTGATGCCATGCTGGTCCTGGAAACCGCTGATTGGCCATCATGCTGCCACTGACTGTCTGGAGGACCTGTCGGCAATCCCACATTACTGCATGGCCAGTTAACCACTTGCCCTCCAGAGGATTTACCCCCCTTCCTGACCAGGCTATTTTTTGTGATACGGCGCTGCTTTATTTTTAACTGGCAATTGCACGGTCATGCAACGCTGCACCCAAATGAAATTTGCATCCTTTTTTTTTTTTTTTTCCCACAAATTGAGCTTTCTTTCAGTGGTATTTGATCGCCTCTGCGTGCTCTAATTTTTTGCGCTAGAAACAAAAATAAAATGGCAGTTTTGTAAAAAAAAATCTCTATTTTTGATTTTTTGCTATTAAACATATCCACTAAAAAAATCTAATTTCATCAAATTGAGGCCAAAATGACGTCTTTGAAAAAAAAAAAAAAAAAAAACAATCCCAATACGTGTAAATTAATTGGTTTACGTGAAAGTTATAGCGTTTACAAATGGTGATATATATACTGGAATTTTTTTTGTTTTACTAGTAATGGTGGCAGTCAGCGACTTATAGCAGGACTGTGGCGGGCATTCTGACACTGGGGGGGAACTGACTTTGTGTCACTGACATCCCCAGTGACACCAATACAGTGATCAGTGCTAATAAATAGCACTGACACTGTACTAATGGCACTGGGTAGGAAGTGGTTAACATCGGGGGCGATCAAAGGGTTAACTGTGCCATTTCACAGTGTGCTTTACACTGTAAGCACACTGCTTTCTATGGCTCTGCTATGCAAAGCCATAGAAAGCAGCGAGCAGGAGCTGACGGGAGAGATTTGTGGTGTTTATATGCAGGTCTCTTCCCCCCATCGGTAATACTTGGAGATTGTCGGGTGCCAGAGGGGAATCACTGGCCAGCACCCAGTGATTGAAAGCCAAGGCACGAATGGTGGTGCAGGTAGCCCCCTACCCAGAACAGCAAAATTACATATATATATGATTTTGTGCACCTGTGCCGCTCTGTAAAAGTATTTCTGCTATAGGGTGGTGTGGAAGCGGTTAATCCTTCCCTATGCTATCCAAAGCTTAAATTATTTTTTGGCTGGAATTGCACTTAAAAATGTACCTGTTCCAATTAACATACAAATTCAATCGAAGAACAAACCTACAGAACCTTTCTTGTTTGTAACCCAGAAACTGCCTGTACAAATCCTCACCTTCTGGATACCCAGTGTAGGCAGCCGCAATGCTGAACAATGAGGTTTCAATGAGTTGGTCCACTCAGGAGTATTGAAGCCATCCCTGGAAATGTCACCTCTGGAGCCAGAGCTGTGAGGGAGCCACTTCCATCCCTGGATACGTCACCCCTGGAGCCAAAGCCGTGTGGGAGCCGCTTCCTCTCATCCACGCCCATCCCTGGATACATCACCCCTGGAGCCAGAGCCGCGTGGGAGCCGCTTCCTCTCATCCACGCCCAGCCCTGGATTCGTCACCCCTGGAGCCAAAGCCGTGTGGGAGCCACTTCCTCTCATCCATGCCCAGCCCTGGAGCCAGAACTGTGTGGGAGCCGCTTCCTCTCCTTGCCCATCCCTGGATACGACACTCCTGGAGCCAGAGCCGCTTCCTCTCATCCACGCCCATCCCTGAATACGTGACCCCTGGAGCCAGAGTCGTGTGGGAGCCGCTTCCTCTCATGCACGCCCATCCCTGGATACGTCACCTCTGGAGCCAAAGCCGTGTGGGAGCCCTTTCCTCTCATCCACGCCCATCCCTTGATATATCATCCTTGGAGCCAGAGCCGTGTGGGAGCCGCTTCCTCTCATCCACGCCCATCCCTGAATACGTGACACCTGGAGCCAGAGTCGTGTGGGAGCCGCTTCCTCTCATCCACGCCCATCCCTGAATACGTGACACCTAGAGCCAGAGTCGTGTGGGAGCCGCTTCCTCTCATGCACGCCCATTCCTGGATACGTGACACCTGGAGCCAGAGCCGTGTGGGAGCCGCTTCCTCTCATGCACGCCCATTCCTGGATACGTAACACCTGGAGCCAAAGCCGTGTGGGAGCCGCTTCCTCTCATGCACGCCCATTCCTGGATACGTAACACCTGGAGCCAAAGCCGTGTGGGAGCCGCTTCCTCTCATGCACGCCCATTCCTGGATACGTAACACCTGGAGCCAAAGCCGTGTGGGAGCTGCTTCCTCTCATGCACGCCCATTCCTGGATACGTAACACCTGGAGCCAAAACCGTGTGGGAGCCGCTTCCTCTCATGCACGCCCATTCCTGGATACGTAACACCTGGAGCCAAAGCCGTGTGGGAGCCGCTTCCTCTCATGCACGCCCATTCCTGGATACGTGACACCTGGAGCCAAAGCCGTGTGGGAGCCGCTTCCTCTCATGCACGCCCATCCCTGGATACGTCACCTCTGGAGCCAGAGCCGTGTGGGAGCCGCTTCCTCTCGTCCACGCCCACTCTGGTCCCAGAGCTGTGGAAGATGTAGTTCGCAGTACAGGGAGAGAAGGAATGCTATAGCAACAAAGACATATATTGATATAGAGGTTTAAAACAAAAAAAAGAGCATAGAAAACTGCAGAGGCCTGTTGAGTGCAGAGTTCAATCTGATCAAAGCTTAAAAAGGTAGGTATAGACAAGTGATGGCGAACTGCTGGCATGCAGAGCCATCTCAGTGGGCACGGCAGGAAGAAGAGGAAGATGAGCGCACACTGACCGGCCATCCAGATCTCATCCACACCGCACCCCTTATTAAACTACATCTCCCACATGTC